CCTTCCTTCCTTCCTTCCTTCCTTCCTTCCTTCCTTCCTTCCTTCCTGTCTGTCTTTCTCTTTGGGAGTGAGGAGCAGAATCTCACTATGTAGCTCTGGCTGGCATAGAACTTGATATGTAGACCAGGTTTGCCTCAAACTCAAAGAGATCCATCAGCCAGTGCCTCTGAGTGCTGGGTATGATTAAAGGTGTAGCCATGCTCAGCAAATACATGAGTTTTCAATGAAAAAAAAAAAAAAAGCTCCTTTGAATTCTCCTCTCCACAGATGTATGCCAGGAAATAAACTAATAGATGAACCCATTCCATTGATTTCTTGAATAGTAATTCTGCCAGTGTTGCACAGAACAAAAATAAAGATGGGCTGCAGAGATAGCTCACTGGTTAAGAATGCTTGGTATTCTTCCAGAGTTCAGTCCCCAGCACCCAGGTAGAAAGTCTCATGACCACATGTGACTTCGGCTCTGAGGGGTATGATGACCTTCTCTGACCTCTGGCCTCCTGGCCTTCAAGGATACCTGCATACATGTAAATAAAAGTAAAATAAAAGTAAATCTTTAAGGATTGTCTTAAAACTTGAAGCTCAGCCTTTCATTATTGTCAGAGGCCTGTGCCTGAGCAGTAAGCACTCCAGGGCTGTTTATGTTAAATGTCAGTCCCGTGCCACAGAACACTGAAAATTCCAAATGCATGTCTATAAGCATCCTTTTCTGTAAAATTCAAATATTTTTTATTTTATTTAGCTTTTGTTTTTGAGACAAGGTTTCTCTGTGTAGCCCTGGCTGCCCTGGAACCAGGCTGGTCTTGAACTCAGAGATCTGCCTGCCTCTGCCTCCCAAGTGCTGCCCAGCTTGTAAAAGACAAATATAAGAGGTATGTCTCTGAATGTTGGTTAATTGTAGCGTTTTGTTGTAACATCCTATAAAATGTGAGTGTACACTTTTTAAAAAGAGCTGTGACCATTTTGAAATATAATAGCAATGCTTTGAGAGCTGTGACCTTTGACCCCAGCAATGGGGGGAAAAAAGGAAATCACCACCTAAGCTAGAGTAAAGGTAGTGTACTTCCTGTTTCTGTGTGTTTGCCTTCTGAAGCATCCTCCTCATCAGGAGTAAATTTTTCCTTGTCCAGATACTTTAAAAAAAAAAGAGTTTGATCTTGGACCAACTAATAAAAGGTGGTTGTGCATACCTGTAACCTCAGGACATGAGGCCAACCTAGTCTACATAATGAATTCTGTGCCAGTCAGGGCTACAAAGTTAGACTATTTCAAAATAAATAAATCAGTTAAAATTAAAATGAAAAAAATGTATAATATGAAATGAAAATTCCTATTTTTTTTGAGGGAGGGGTTATCTGTGTAAGAGCTCTGACTATGCTGGAATTCACTCTGTAGACCAGGCTGGCCTCTAACTCACAGAGATCCACCTGCCTCTGCTTCCAGAGTTCTGGGCTAAAAGAGTGCATCTCCACCACCTTAAAAAGAATTACATTTATTTCTTGTGTGTGTGTGTCCACAAATGTGCATGTGCATATATTCCAACCAAAGAAAACTTGGCGGACGGACTCTGTTCTCTCTTCTCGTACTGAGAGAATACTGAGTTCTGACCTCAAGTTATCAGGGCTAGTGGCAAGCGCTGTAGTACAGGCAACCCTGAGCCATCTCTGGGACGTTCCCTAGGGTGACAGTATGTTAGGGATGTTTCCACATTTTTGTCTTCACCTAGTTGAGTGCCTGTTCACAGGAAAATCAAGGAGTAGGACCAGCAACAGGGCTCACCCAAGACTGACCGCTTGAGCCTGAGCCCCAGAATGCACATGGTAGACGGAGAGAACTGACTCCTGCAAGCTGTCCTCTGGTGATTCATAACTCTGGTTCCAGGAAATCACATGACTCTGCCTCCTAGGGATCCAGGCACACACATGGTGCACAAACATAAGCAAGAGTCTAACAAAACACACACATTAAGATGTCTAAAAATTGAAAACTCCACTAGGCATGTATACGTGTGTGTGTGTGTGTGTGTGTGTGTGTGCGTGCGCGCACGTGCACGCGCACTTGCAATAATGTGTACATGATATGTGTGTGGGAGTGCATTACCACACACATCTGGAAGACAGAGGACAGCTTTGTTGGGTCGGTACATTCTTTGTGTTTTTACATAGGTTCCGAGGATCTAGCAGGTTTCCAGGGTTACATGGCAAGTCCACGATCCACTGAGACATCTCCTTGGCCTGAAATTACTATTACTTGTTCTTAAAAGCAAGAAGTACTGAAGGGCTGCGGTAGGTCAGTGGGAGAGTATTTGCATAGAGCCTTCTACACCTAGCATGTGTGCATCTATGTGTGGGTACGTGCATGAGTACCGTGCCCTGGAGGCTCGGAGGACAGTGTTGTAGTGACAGGCTTCTTTACCTGGGTGTTGGGAACTGAACTGAGGTCCTCGCAAGAGTAGCAGGTGTTCTCGACTGGCCAGACATCTCTGTAGTACCCTCAGACTTCCTCTGGTCCTCTTGTACCTCTCGGTGGGGGATGGTTTCCTGGTGCTTTGTGGATTCCAAAGCCCTAGGACAGTGATTCTCAACGATCTAATTCTGCAGCCCTTAGATCCTTTAATACGTTGCCACATGTTGTGGTGACCACCCCGACCTTCATACTTCATAACTTTAGAATCTCGCTAATGATGAATTGCGGTATAAATATTTGATATGCAGGATACGTGATTCATATCAGGTGTGACCCACAGGTTGAGAACAGCTGCCCTAGGTGCTCAAGCCGCTTCCATAAAGCGGCTTAGTGAAGTCAGGAGGGGAAGTGCACACCTGTAATCCTAGTACTCAGGAGGCAGAAGCAGGATGATCTCTCTGAGTTCGAGGCCAGCCTGGTCTACATAGTGAGTTCCAGAACAGCCAGGGCTACATAAAGAAACCCTGTCTCAAAAAACTAAAAGCAACAACAAAAAAAATCACAGAAGGCAGAAAACCTAATGTACGGGGTGTTATGTTTAAACACTCGCCTTGTCAGATTACAAAGTCCTCGGACTGGAGTTGGTTGAATCCTTGAAATCACTATTTGTGGGTACAGAAGACCAGCTGGGTAGCTGTAAGGTATTGTGGGACTCTGCCTGAGAAGTTTGGAAACTTGTGTGAAACCCGGGCTAGAGTGAGAAGGAGGAAAGGATGGGTTGGCGAGGTTGAGAGGATGGAGATTCCCGTGCAGGCTGTGGTGGGACTTGGAAAGATCTTTAGACTGCTTCAGAAGGGATTTGGGAACCTTGGGAGGGTGTAAGAAAAGGGCCTTGACCTGACTGAAGTGCTCTCTGGTGCCTGCTGGCAGCCGAGCAGAAGAGAAAGTGGGAGGTGAGGTGAGCGCTCATCCAGAAGGAAGAAGTCAGGTGAAAGTACAAAGTGGGGGATTCTGACGGAGAAAGGATCAAGGCCACCGCAAAGTTTGGAGCGAACTGCAGCCTTTGGCAGGATGGAACTGGCATTGGCTGAATGACATCAGAAAGGATGATTGGGGAACAACAGGCTGGAAACTGGTGTCCAGGGTATAGCGGCCACGCAGTCCCGCGAGCGGCCGCCAGATGGCGAACGCGCTGCGGGAAAGACCCAGGCCGTAGCTTCTCACGCTCCTGCAGCCGGGCTTTGCACCTCCTCACCTGGGTGTGAGATGCACCGACAAGGGCTGGGCCGGACCCCCCAGGCGCCTCGAGGGCCCAAAGCCTGGGGTGCAATCCCACGTTCTTTGTGTACTTCCCACCACTCTGTTCCCATCGCCTGTATCAGCATCTCAGGTCTCTGCAAAAGTGTCACATTCTGGGGGGGAGAGGGGTCTTCCCTGACTGCCCAGCTATCAGAAACCCATACCTTGACCACTCTAAAATTCATTTCATTTTATTGTTGTTTTTTTTTAACCTTTGAAACAAGATCACTCTTTAGACAAGGCTTTTAAACTCCTGATCCTCCTGCCTCAGCTTATGTGCTGGGGTGACAGATATGGGAGTTGTGGCCCATCCCTGTAATCTCTGTTCTCAGGATACTGAGTGGATGAAGCTCAAGATAATGGCCAGTCTGGACTACATAAGGAGTTCTTGTCTCAACCGCACCCAATAAGACAATAGTAGCAGTCAGGTTAACTCACTGTTGTTTGGGTGCAGGGGTGGTGCAGGGCTCCTGTTTATAATTCATAAAGGTTCCCTCCTCAGAACAGGAAAAAGAAGTTATGGGTTCATGAGACAAACGAGCATCCACATGTGTGTTTCAGGTCTCTGAGTCCTCAATGCAGCCTCTGAGGTTGTGTCTGATGCTGTTGCCAGCATCCTATTACAGAGGAGAAGGATGAAGCTCAGGCCGGTCAATGGCCAGCCAAGAAACTGCAGGGCAGCACCGAAGGGTGTGATGTCACTAAGTGGATGAATGGGGGTCTGGAGATTCAAAAGACCCCTTAGCTGCTATCCACTGGACCTGCCTTCCTTGATTCACATGATCCCCCTGGAGCAGGCTCAGCCCCCCTGGGACTCTCAGCAGGCTGGGAGGAGCTGTGGGATTGGCCAGGTCAGCTTCCCTTCCTTCCCTGCTGGGAGCTCCCAGAAACACCTCTCAGGCTTCTCAGGAGGGAACAGTGGTAAATAGCAGATGTCTGAGGGCCCAGACTTCACACGCTAGACAGCAGGGTCCACTCCACAGGGCCCTGAGCCCATCCCAAGACAGACAGACAACTGCACAGCCAAGTGATGCACTGTAGCCAGTTAACCACACTGCTGGGTCTGCTTAGTGGGGCCTGGCTGCCCACAGGCTCAGGGAGGCCTGGGGCCCCAGCTACACCTACTCAGTCCTGGACTGCTAGCAATCAAAGCTGGACTCTGGATCCCCTGGCGCCCATCTCTGCCCTGGGTAGCTGGAAGGCCTTCCTGGGCCTGCAAAACAAAGAGCAGGGGACAGGTGAGCTGCAGGGAGGGCTAAGCGCGGCTTCTGGTGTGTCTTTGCCCTTGGCTCCTCAGGAAGTGCTTCAGGAGACTTGTAAGGCTCTGCCCTTTGTTCAGGTGAGTCTGTGGTGGTGGTTGTTGTATCTGTGGTAGTGGTGGTGGCGTCTGTGGTGGTGGCTGCGGTGTTGTCTTTGGTGATGGTGAGATCTGTGGAGGTAGCAGTGGTGGGGGTTACTCTCAGCAGTGTTCAGAGCACAGGTCATATGGCCAGGCAGATTTGCAATCAAGTCTCAAGTCCTGAATCTTCCATCTAAATGTCTATGAACTTCAGGGTTCCTCCTTATCAAATGGGGCAAATGGTTTTTGATTGCCTTTGTTTTAATTTTTCAAGTCTGGGTTTTTCTTTTTGTTTTTTTGTTTTGTTTTGTTTTGTTTTTTTAGAGACACAGATTCCTGTAGCCCAGGCTGACTTCTACGCAAGGCTGGGCTTATGTAGTGTAGGCTGAAACTGTGTAGCTAAAAACGATTTTCAGAGTCTGTTTCTCCCGGCCTGGTCTACAGAGTGAGTTCCAGGGCAGCCAGGGTATCAGAGAGAATCTTTGTCTGGAAAACAAAACCAAAAACAGACAAAGGAAAACAGCAACAACAAAAGATTCTACTTCTGACGTCACCTTGTATGTGCAGGCAGGCAGGCATGTGCCACCACTCCTGGTTTAAGGAACCTAGGGCTTTACACATGTCAGGTAAGCTCTACCAGTGGCTGGCTCTGCTTTCCTATTTAGCAGCCAGGAAGAGGCTGTTGACAAATCCAAATGCTCCCCTCCAAATGCCCGTGACTCTAACCTTACTCTAAACAAAAGTCCCAGTTCTCAGAGCTCACAAGGGTCTACATTCTTTGACCTCCCTGATTTGGGCTCCTCCCACTCATGCCTTCACTCCTCACACATGACATGCTTTCTTGTGGTGTGTGTGTGTGTGTGTATTTAGAGAGGGTTTTGTTATGGTGCCTGTATTTGTATTGGACTATGTACCCACAGACTGCCCTGTAACTCAGTGATCCTTCTGCTAGGATCATAGGTGTGAGTTACCACACCCATCTTAGAGAGGAGGTGTCTGTCTGTCTGTCTGTCTTTTGTTGTTTTAGCTAAAGTCTTATGTAGCTTGAGGCTGCCTATAAACTTCTGACGTCACCTTGTATGTGCAGGCAGGCAGGCATGTGCCACCACTCCTGGTTTAAGGAACAGGGACAGGCATGCAGTGGACATACAGTGTTTGTTGAATGAATGAACGAATGACTGACTAGTAGCACATGGTTCTCACCGGCTATAGGACAGCTTGAGCAAGAAATAATTCATAAAAAAAGAAACAATTTCATATCTGCAATCAGTTAGTGTCTCAAAAGGGCTTTGGGAAATCTTATTCAGTGCTGAGTTCAAATCCTGCTTTATTGTTGGTGTCTGTAGCTTGCCTTCTCTAACCCTTTCCTCATGCCCATAAAATGTAGGTAGTAACATGGGTTCATGCAGAGTGCTTCTAGCCATGCGCAGTAGGGCATCAGTTCCTGAAAATCCATGGCTTGGTATTCGCCTATGAAACCTGGGAATTTAGGAGACCAGGATTGATCTATCTGGCCCCAAATATATTTTTTTACCTTTCAAGATAGGTCTAACCAAATAGTCCAGGCTGGTCTGGAACTTGTGATCCCCAGTTTCTGAGTCTTTGGGTTACACACATCGCTGGGCCCACTCCATATTCTTCTTTGCTACCTACCAGTGGCTGACCTAGCAGAATGAAGCTTGGCTTGGAGTCTAGCTCACTGCTGAGCCCGGTCCAGCTCACAGCTGAACGTGGAGCTATACAGGCCCCGATGGCACAAGATGCTGTAGGCTGGCAGCCCCCCTGCAGCTGTGTAGTCTCAGGCAGCTCCAAGCCTCAGTTTCCTCGTTTGGAAATAAGGACATATTAGTACTGGCCTCATCACCCCAGGGGAGACAGAACAAGTCTGGGTTTATCAGGGGCCAGCATGGAGAGCAGGGATGGTTTCCTTTTTAAATTCCAGAGCCAGGACTGGAACCCAGGGCCGTGGGCATGTATAATGTAGCACGTGGGAAGCTGAGGCAAAGGAGTAAGGAACTCAAGGCCAACTTCTGCTAAATAATGAGTCTGAGGCCTGCCTGGGCTACATGAAACCCATCTCACTACAAACAAAAAAAATTAAAGGTTTCAAGTGGTTTATTCTTTTCCTTTTTAATTTTTTTCTTTATTATTCTGAGCATGGTGATATATATCTTTAGTCCCAGTACTTAAAAAAAGAAGGTGTTTCTCTGGGAGTTTCAGGCCAGCCTGGTTTACACAGCAAGTTCTATCTAGCTAGGGCTACTTAGTAAGACCTTGTCTCAAAAAATATAATTATACTTACATTTTAATTAATTTATTGGTTTTGTTTTGTTTTGTTTTGTTTTGTTTTGTTTTTGAGACAGGGTTTCTTTGTGTAACAGCCTTGGTTATACTGGAACCAACTTTGTAGTCTAGGCTGGCCTGGAATTCACAGAGATTTGTCTGCCTCTGCCTCTGAAGGGCAGAGATTAAAGGCATGTACCACCCATGCCTGGTCTAAATGTATTTATTTGTGTTTTGTGTACATTGGTGTTTTGCCTGCACATATGATTGTATGAAGGTATTAGATCCTGAAATTAAAGTTGTGAGCTGCCATGTAGGTGCCAGGAACTGAACCTGGTCCTCTGGAAGAGCAGTTAATGCTCTTAACTGGGTGCTCTTAACGTGCAGGCATGCATGTATTTGCCAAGCCATCTTTCTGGTCCCTATATTATTATTTTTGGATTTTCAAGACAAGGTTTCTTTGCAACCTGCAACTCACTCTGTAGTTCAGGCTGGCCTCTAACCCAGAGATCCACCTGCCTCTGCCTCCCAAGTGCTTGGATTAAAAGTGTGTGCCACCACCACCAAGTAATTACATGTATCTATGGGTACATGAGTATGCGTGTGTGCAGAGGTGCTCCCTGGTCCGAGTGTGGAGGGCAAAGGGTAACTTGTGGGAGTTTTCCCCTTTACTGTGTGGGCCACAGGAATTGAATTTAGGTTGTCAGAATTGGCAGTAAGTGCCTTTGCCTTGTTGACCCATCTGTGGGGTGTGTGTGTGTGTGTGTGTGTGTGTGTGTGTGTGTGTAGAAAGCATTTCAGAGGATAGAGAAACGGTTCAGCAGGTAAAGGCACTTGCCAGCAAGCCTGACAATCTGAGTTTGATTCCTGGGACTCACATGGTGGAAGGAGAGACCTGACTCCCACAGTTGTCCTTTGGCTTCCACATGGGTCCCTTGGTATACACCCCCTAACCTGTGACAAATTTAAAACAATAAAAAAAGATAGGGTTTCACACTATAGCCCACGCTGGCATAGAGCTGACTGTGCAGCCAAGGTTGGTCTCAAACTCATGGTAATTCTGCTTCAGTCTCCCAAACGTTCACTCTCCCATAACCAGATTTTAATAATATTTTAATGTGTGTGTTTTGTCTACTGTATGTATACCTGGTGTGTGCCTACTGCGAAGCCAGAAGATGGCATCAAATCCCCTAGAGCTGGAGTCATGGATAGTTGTGAGCCACAAGGTTGGAACAGAGCCCAGGTCCTCTGTAACAGCAAGCAGTGCTCCTGACAGATGAGTCACTTCTAGCCCCCCACCCCCATTTTGATATTTTTTTGTGGTGCTGGGAATGCGACCTGAGCCTCGTATGTGCCAGGCAAGTGCTCTACGCCTAAGAGATGCCCCAGCTCTATTTTCCCATCTATTTTGACACAGAGTCTCAGTAAGTTTCCTACATGGGCTTTGACCTTGAGATCCCCTTACCTTGGCCTCTGGACTGGTTGTGATGTACATGTCTGCATCACCAGACCCAGCCTTCTAGTGTAATCTGGATGATTTTGTTTGGGAGTGTGTGTAGAGGCACACATGTGTGATAAGGACAGGGGTTGGTGTTCAGTGCCCTCAACTACTCTTTTCCTTTTTAAAAATAATTAAATTGTCAGGCAGTTCAAAGGTGGCCCATGCTTTTAATCCCAGCACTCGGGGGGCAAAGGCAGGCAGATCTCTGAGTTCAAGGCCATCTGGTCTACAGAGTGAGTTCCAGAACAGCCAGGGCTACACAGAGAAACCCTGTCTTGAAATAAACAATAAACAAACAAGTAAATACAATTAATTCTATTGGTGTTTTGCATGCATATATGTCTGTGTCCTACGCACTCGTGTGGTCCCCAAAAGAAGGTGTCAGATGTCTGAAATGGAGGAAGTTGTAAGTTGCCATGTGGGTGCTGGGAATTGAACCCAGGAGCTCACTGGACAGGAAGCTCACCAATTCAGCTAGGCTGGGCTGGCCAGCAAGCCCCGGGCAACCTCCTGCTGTCATCACCTTCCCAGGGTTGGGATTACAGGCGTGTGTCCCATTTTATGTGAGCGCTGGGGATCTGAACTCGGGGCTTCATGCTTGCACCACATCATGACTCTCACCAGCCTTGGATTTGGAAGATTTTAAGCAAGCGAGTGTGTGGAAAGGTTGAGTAAGTTGCTGCAGGCCTCACGGCCAGGAGGGGGAGCCAGAATTCAAACCCAGGCCATCGGCCGGCAGCCTTTAGCATCTGCATCCTTCTGTCCGGGTAGAACTGGATGGTAATCATTCTCACCCCTCTAGACTCCACAGTGCTGACTGTCCCCCTGTCTCTGTTTGCAGGTGATCTCCAGGCCTGGTTGCACAGCTTCCCGGGTCCTTAATCATCTCTGTTTTGGCCACTGTTCCTCCTTCTACATCCCCAGCTCGGGTCCCTCCCCTCTAATCCTCTGCAACAGCTGTGTGCCGGCTCGAAAGCGCTGGACATCGGTGGCACTGTGGTGTGGAGCTGGCCAATCAGCTTCCCCTCGGCGTGTGAGGATTTCCACCGTACTGGTCCAGAAGTGTCAGTGCCGCCCGAAGCTGTGAGCGGAGCATCCTAGAGGAATGCGCAGAACACGAACCTTGGAAAGAAGCAGGAGACGCAGTAGGAAGACGTGACCTGAATGATGTGCATCAGGTCAAGAGAGCAGGGTTGGAAGGACAGATGGACAGGGCCAGAAGGTCTTCCTTCATCTCGCTCCCAGAATACTAGACATGGTCCCCCAGTCATGGGTTTAGACCACTAATAGTCATAGAATGTGGGGCTGAGGTGTAACTCAGTGGGAGAGGGCTTGCCTATCATGCATACAGCCCTGGGTTCTATTCTTATGTGATATGTGGAGGGGGAAAAAGGCGTAGCTATACTGTATGATTAGCCCTGTGTGGGAGGGAACATTCACGACATAGTCACTAACTCAGGTCGTCCTCAGGAATCAATCCTCAGACGTCCCGCAAGGTAGAATTTCACACAGGTCATTTTACAGATGAGGAAACCGAAGCTATTGACGCACTGTCACTTTTTGGGAGGGGAGAATAGGGAGAGGGCTTGAGACACAGCCCTTACGCACGCGCAGCACAGCTCCCTGCGAGCTCCTCCTCCCCTAGCCTAGGGTCCCGCTCTTAGCCACTTAGGTGGCACCACGTCTCAGTGTTCAAGACAGACACTCCCAACTGCTATGACAGCACCACGCAAACACGGACACTGAGCAAAGATGACCCTGTTCTAGGGACACCAGAATAACAGCAGCAGCAACTACAACAACAAAACTATGGCAGGCAAGCGGGAAGCAGCTGCTGGGAAAACCTGGCCCCAACCAGAGGCGACCCCGCGCGTGCGCAGCTGCCTCTGTCGTTGACAGTAGCTGGGGTTTCCCTTATTGCCCCACCCGAGTCCCCGCAGCAGCCTCATGCCCAGCCTGGCATTCTGTGAGAACCATAAAGGTTAGCCAAGTCCAGCTGTGCGTGCTTCTTTCTGACTAGGGTTTCCTGGGTAGGGGGGCTCCCTCTTCAGCTGGGGGGTAGGGTGTGCGGCAGCCAGGCAGCCTAGCTCTGGGCGGCTGGAAACAGGGCCCTGGCAGATGGGCCCGTCTGGCAGAGACTCAGAGACATGTGGCAGCGTCGCCTCCAAATGCCCCCCCCCACCCCCAGTGCCGGGTGGAGGGAGCTGGTCAAGCGCCCCCCCCCCGCCCTCTTCCTGCCTCAGGAAGGAAGGCTCCAGGTGAGGGGGAACAGGAGGGCCCCCCACAAGGAAACAGATGGAACAGCACGACGTGGGAGCTTCGACCCCTGACCTTACAGGCCTGAACAGAGGGGTGGGAACCTGCCTGGCTGCCAGCTCCCAAGACTGTCCTAGAGGAAGGGTCATGGAGCCCTAGGGGCCCGGGGAAAGCGCCCTCCTGCCTGTCCCTAGAGCTTGGTGGCAAAACTCATGCAGTGTCTGAGCTGGCAACTCAACCCAAGCACCCCTTTTCTGGCGGGCACAAGATGCCTGCATCCCTCCACCTCAGCTGTGCCCACCTCCTGCCAGCCTGGAGAGCCAGCTGGGAACCTTGGTGCCAGGGGGGGCAGAGTCACTGCGCCCTCCCAGGCAGTGCCAGTCGGCCCCCGCTGCTGCCCCCCCCAGGCCCAGTAATGGGTGGGTAATGAGTGCTGGGGGAGTTGGGGGGGAGGGGCAGGGAGGCAGGTGCCACAGGCTCTGGCACCGGGGGCCGCTAATCAGGTTTGCCAAAGCCATCTGTCATCGTGCGAGCATCTGGGGCTCAAGGTGACCCTGTCACCCTCAGTTACAATTATGAGTTTGGCATCTGTATTAAAGCTCGCCAGGCAGGCAGGCAGGGGAGGGATGGGGCGGATAAGGGGGTGTACGGTGAGCCCCATCCCTGGGGTCTGGTTCCCAGGGGCTGTGTAGCTGCCAAGGCATGAAGCATCTCTGCACTGTGTGTGTGTGTGTGTGCGCGCGCGTGTGTTCTCACACAATATGAGTCGTACACACTCATCTCAGTCTCCTTTACTGTTCTTCCCTAGTGTGTCTGGGTACAGGATTGGGACTCTCAGGGCTTGTCTCTGTGTGGTGGCTGTGTGTCTGAGGGTTTGGTGGGGTGGAAGAAGGGGATGAGTCTGACATTGAATGGGTACCCAGGTAAGCATGTCTATGGGTATACTGAGAGAGGAATGGGGCACGGTGAGCCCCATCCCTGGGATCTGGTTCCTAGGGGCTGTGTAGCTGCCAAGGTATGGAGCTTCTCTGCACTGGTCACTTGCCTTTGGAGGATGGTGTGTGATAAGGTGTGACTTCTTGTAGTGTGTGTGATGGGGGGTGCATCAGAGGGCATCAGTCCTGAAGCCCTTACAGTTATAGACTGTATGTGTGGTGGAGGTATACCACCTGTGTGAAAGAAGCATCTCTGCACTGTGTGTGTGTGTGTGTGTGTGTGTGTGTGTGTGTGTGTGTGAAGCAGCAGCTGGCAGAGGCTGTAGATATTCACCCGAGTCTCTCCTGCCCCTCCAGTCTGTGCCTGCTTTTACCAGCCCGGATCTGATCCAGAGAGTTCTAACAAAGACCCAGGACTCCTAGATGTTGCAAGCCTGTTTTGGGTTTCTCTGTTTTGGGGAGCTCAAGATTCCAATTTTGAACAATGGAATCTAGACTTTTCGGATTCTGGATTCTGGAATGTGAATCTGGGTTTAAGATTCTGGGTCCTACATTCTTGGATCTAATTTTCTACATCTCAGAATTTTTGGAGTCTAGGGTCTTTTCTTTTTTCTGATGCTGGAGATGGAACCTGCACATACTAGATAAAAGCTCTCTTGCTCTGTCCCCAGAATCTCAATGAGAATTCTAAGCAGCTGCTGTACTGCTCAGCCTGACCCCCAGAACCTATCCTGTGATTATGAGTTCCAGGACATGATTAAATAGGCTTAGTTCTGGGTCCGGGTTCTTACTTCTGGGTTCTTACCTCTGTGCTCATCCTGGACCTATCACTCTGCCTGGGGTTTCTATAATTAAGCCTTCAACCATAACCCCAAATGAAAGGTGTAGTGATGCTATTTAACCACAAGGGGCCGCCCTTGGTCTAGATTTCGGCTGGACTGACCTAGCTGTGGGGCTACAAGTACTGGCATGACCCAACTTTTTGAGGGGGACTAGGAGTAACGTTCTTATGCTACTTTCCATCCGAAATCTCATCCAAGGACTGATGCCTCTCAGCTCTTACAGCTCAAGTCTGGATCGTGGGCCCACTGCCTTCACAGTCCTACAAAAGGGACTCTTGGACAGACAGGGTGTACGATACGAAACATTTAAAAAAGATATGGATGGCCCCTTGTGACTGCAGTCCCTGTAACCTTTCAAATGTTGTTTTGTTGGCTTTTGAGACAGTCTCTGTGTAGCCCTGGCTATCTTTGAACTCATTATATAGACCAGTCTTGCCTTGAGCTCACAGAGATCTACCTGCTCCTACCTTCAGAGTCCTGGGCTTAAAGATGTCCACCACCATGCCTTGGCTACATGGTATGCGATTTTATCTGATCATTGGATGATTTCAGCAAGGACTAATGTGTTCTCTAGGACTGTCTGTGAGGCATTACTCTGACATGGGATAGGAGTCACTGTGCTGTGTCATATGTGTCTACGATGGCCACGGCTCTGCCTGTAAGCACTATAAGGCACTCTGAAGTGTCAGGAGCAGTATATGGAAAGGCTGTGCCTCTGTATGAATGATATCTTCTTAGCAGGACAAGGGGAACATTCTGGGAGTATCAGGTTGAGCCAGTGGATAAGCCACAGGGCAGTGGGGACTAGATACTTGGGGCAGGAATCAGCACGGAATCTCTGAGCCTCTCTAGGGAGATTCTCTGTGTCTGGATACATCTGCCCCTGCATCTGTCAACCCACGAGTAGACTTACCAGTCTCTCTCTCTCAACCTGGCTTCGTCTAACTTGGGGTCTCATGCCTATCTCATCCTATTGCCAGGCACATCAAGGAGCACAACGACCCCCACCCCCACCCCCAGTCCTGGTGCTTTCCTGTTCAGACCGTTCTCTTGCATCTCTCTCCCTCACTGTCTCTGCCCCTCTGAAGTTCCTCTTAACTCTCCATCCTTCCTCTCAGATTCTAAACATTGCTTTCTCCATCCATGCCTGTCTCCCCCACTGTCTCCTTCTCTAGTATACACATGTGCTTGTGTGCGTGTACACGTGTGTGTGTGTGCATGCACATACTGTGTCTGTGGGCCAGAGGCTGTCTTTCTCAACTGTTCTCCGTTTCTTCCCTTTTTAGACTGGGTGTAGCTTCATAGCTTTCTCTGACCTGAGACTCACTATGTTGACCCGGTTGGCCTGGATTTACAAAACTATTCCTGCCTGTGTTGTGACTAAAGATGTTCACCACCACACCCAATTTCCACTTTTTTCCTTTCCTTTTTTTCTTTTTCTCTCTTTCTCTCTCTCTTTCTTTCTTTTTTCTTCCTCCTCTTCCTCTTTTTCCTCCTCTTCCTCCTCTTCTTTTTTTGAGACAGGGTCTAGTTGGTCAGCATCCCCCAGAATTCACCTGCCTCCACTTCCCTGTACTAGGATTACGGGCCTGTGCTACACGCCTGCCAGGTTTTTTGCATGGGTGTGAGGGAGCCAAACTCAGGTCCTCCACCTCAACTGCTCTTGCCTGAGCCCTCCTCCCTTTTTTAAGAGGCAGGGTCCTGATATGTAACTGATACTAGCCTCAAACTCAAAAGCCTCAGCTGCCACGGCGTGTCACCGAGTTGGTCTGTTCCCCCCCCCCCTTTTTTTTCCCTCGAGACAGGGTTTCTCTGTGTAGCCCTGGCTGTCCTGGAACTCACTCTGAAGACCAGGCTGGCCTCGAACTCAGAAATCCGCCTGCCTCTGCCTCCCAAGTGCTGGGATTAAAGGCGTGAGCCACCACTGCCCGGCTCCTTTCCCTTTCTTATCACTCCACTCCACCTTCTCTTGCCCGTGTGTATCCCATCCCCAAATCTTGTTAACCTCTGTCCACCTTTTCCTATCTTTAACTCTGCATTTCTCCCTTTATCACTGTCTCTCCATATTCGTTTCACTCCTCCTTGCTGTCTTTCCTTCTTTCCATCTAGGCCAGCTCGGGTGGGTCCGGGTGGGTCCGGGACAGCCCAGCCGGGGCGCCGCGGTGAACAATGCGGCATTCAGGAGGCCGGCCGGCACCATGGCAACGCGCCCGCCCCGCCCTCCCCGCGCGCGGGCCGCGCGTGCCAAGAGGGTGCCATGGTTACATCAGGCGCGTGCCCACCCCGCGCGCCGCCGCGGCCCCGCACGATCTTACATGACTGGGCCAGAAGGGGGCGCCCGGTCTTAGCCTCTGTCTGGAGTCAGGAGGGGCTGCCATCTTCAGAAAGTCCCTTTAGCCCTCAGTACCTTGGTTTTCCCATCTATAAAGTTCAGGGTGGGGGAGGGGAAAGACGTAGGAGAGAAAAGGGGAGTTGGGGATAAGGAGGGGGGGAGAGAGGGAGGGAGTGTAGGGCTTTGGGAGACCGTTCTATATTATGCTTTTGTATTTGCTAGTTAGTAGGACTGTATGTATACATGCAAATTCGTGTCCCAGTACTTGGACACTTGTGTATTCTACAAGAAGTTATGGGGAGGGAACATGGTGGAAGGAGAACCCATTTCCACAAGTTGTCCTCTGATTTCCACAGGCTTGTCACCACAAGCAGATGACTAGACACACGTATAAAGAAATAAATAAGTATAATAAAATATAAAAAGTTGAATGGGCGTGGCTAGGGTATGGAGCTTGGTTAGTGTGCTTGAGGCCTTGGGTTCGATCTCAGCACCACACACAAAAGTTGTTACTTTCAGGTCACTGTGTTTATGAATTTGGAAATTGTGTGTGTGTGTGTGTGTGTGCACTTCTGCCTATGATGGTGAGTGCTGGACACATAACGGTGTGCCTGCGGTCGTATGACTGGG